AAAAAAAAAGAAGATCTCTGACAATAACAAGAGGTGATCCGCTAGTGTAGTGGATCACCAAAAATGTTTGTGATTTCCTATTATGTTGAAATATGTGTAGTTTTCAACATAGTATCTAGCCATGAGCTAAGTACCAAAGCTAAAATTTGGTTTATAGGTAGATCCAATGTATCTGATTAACTGGGGTAAATTTAAGAAAAGATTTTCTTTCCACAAGACGATCTGTTGTTGAGAAACACTGGCGTTTTTCACTTTTATAGATCTGGTCCCAACTTTGAATATATGCCATTCAATTTTAATTGATTTGATCAGCCTGCGCTTGCATGTGGCTAGAGACAACTACACATAGATAATATATTTGTAATATGAGGGGTATATACCCACTCATATAGACGCAGGGTGACATCAAATTCACAAAAAATTTGTATCGTTAAACAAAGCGGCTAATTTGAGTGCAGATAACTTCAAAAGGGAAGAGATAACTGTTAATCTAAGGCCATATTTGTAAAATATGGCGAAAAATAAGTTAAGAATACCAAGTTTGACCCTGATAGCTATAATACCAATCTCGAGTCATAAGCTTCCGAAGTTGAAGTAAATTGCGTTTGCACATCTTGAAGAACCACGCCCCATATTTTTGAGGAGTCAATATCTCGAAAACTACATATCCTATGAGGCTATTTTTTTTTGTTGGTTTAGCATACAGTGGATTTTTATGGAGTTTCTTCAAAATCTGAGACGGTCATATAGGAATTCCTTTTTAATCTGTCTGATTTGACATAGAATGACCCTAAAATAGGTCAAAGGTCAGAATGTATCGTTTCCGGTCACTATTTGAATATTTTTTTCATTAGGACGAATATAAACATGAATCTCATGATCAATTTGCAATCAATTGTGAGTATCTGTGACCAGTAGTTACTGAGATGACATTACAAGGTCAAAGGACAAACTTTCAAAAACCGCATTTCCCGCTATTTTTTGATAAAAAGTTGTATTACAACAAATAGGAACATGCATATTGTGAACAAATTGAGACCAAAATCAATTCTCTCTGACCAGTGGTTATCGAGATACAAGCGTCCAAATCAACAGGCGGCCATTTTGAAAAACGCCCCAAACGGGACTTTCCCCCAATATCTGGGAGGTATATAGGAGCTATATTTTATCTAAATTGGTCCATCTTGCCAAATCCATCGAGAAAAATAGGTATATCCTAAAATTAGTCACGGATCTCCTGAAAATGACTCTACTACATTGGATTGTTATGTTAGAATTGACAGTTAATATAAAACATTCCCTTCAAAGTTAATAGCATCCCCCCTTGCCCCTGAGCTGAGTAGTTTGTTTAGAGTATAAACTGTTTGTGCGGTAGACATGGTATGAGAAATCAAATTTTATCGTATGTCTACACGAGAGTTATAGCGGATAGTTATAGCGCTTATACACTGATATAAAAAAGTTGAAGATTAAAATTATTTCTATTGATCTCATGATAATGTTTCAATAAAACAAAGACGACAAAACAGAGATTACATTAGGCGAGGGCCTGCCTGGGCTAGGCCTGCTTTGAATTGAGTAGGCAGTAGGCCATCCCAACTATCGACAAATAAAAGGCAAAATATGTTTAACATCCAATTTTTTCATCTTCACTTGGTAGAGCATTTTGAAAAAGCGAAATAAAACTATGAGTTTTTTTCCTCACCTACCATAAGCCTACCTATTAACATTTAGGTGATTTTCGACAACATTTATAACCTTAGCATCCAAATGTAGTATGTGAGTACGAACATTGTTCATGGTTCATCTTGCTAGAATGTGTGAATTGCAGTGGCTAAAGATAAGGCTACCGTATTAGCTGTAATTTCAGAATCATGTACGTACAGTATGTCACCGGCGTTCACTGTATCTTGTTCAGCCATATCTTTAGACACAGCAAACGAACTACCAGTGTTTTGCGGATTTCCCAAAAAAAGACATGAAAATTTATATGAAGTTTACAATGAACAGTAATAATATAAATTTGTCCTGTAATATTTATTTGGATACTTTTGACAATTATGAAGTTAAAAACAACTCAAAAAGGTAATTATAAAGATGCTTTTTGATATTATGAACCAACTAGGCCTAGTAGAATTGCCTCGAAAACGAGATCGTGGTCAAGCTACAGATGGTATTGCAATCAACATGTGGCAAGTCAATTAACAGAAAGTTCTATCGGATGAGAGCCTTGCCAATCCGGTCATTGGTTGGTGTTATCTTGCGGGGTGAAGCACTTGTTTTCTATTAGGTGACCCCGTTCATAGAGTACAGTCGGTGTCAGCCTCATAATAGAAAGAAATTGGTGAAGCAAGTTACAGTAGTTGCACAGTAATTTTGCATAGTTTTATTTGAACATTTGCTTACATAACGTAAAACCTCGAAGTGAAGCCCAGTGGGCTTAATCTCGAAATTAAGCCTATCTTGAATTGAAGCCCCCTCTTTAGTTTGCAGAATTAGCCTCGAAGATAGCATAGGCTTCTTTTCGAGATAGTACAGTACATACACTATACATGAATTTCAAAAAACAAAATAAATTTTTAAAAACAAGCTTGGTACAGTAGTTTAGGTGATTTAATGCCAGTTAAATACACTCCATTGTACAGATTGATGTTACAGTGGCCTTATTGCTGTCTCTTATACACATCTAGATGTGTATAAGAGACAGATATTTTGAAAAGAAGCCCCCCCCCCCCTTTACTTTAAAAAAGAAGCCTCGAAAAGAAGCTCACCCAAAGCTTGCAGAAAAAAAAAAACCCCAGGGCTACAATTCAAGGTTTTACGGTATATGAAGCTTCCAAGCCAGTGTATAAAAACATGTTGTTCTCTCTAAAGCCCAGAACACAACCTTTCATAATAGTCAATCTAATAGAGAGCTCCAGGAACAGCAACACAGTGCAACGATTGCAGTGAAAACACTCTACACACAGTGTAGTGATTTTATGGAAACTAGGCTTACATACCTGCCCAAGAACATATGCATTGGACTAGTCTTAATCTCAGCTCAAAAACATTAATTTGAATGCTCAAGGCCTGGCCTACAATACAGTAAACTTAAAACCACACACTTCTACTTCTATTAAAAATGCTTGATTGTACATTCAGGATGAATGCACTGCAGATACTGTAGTCAGTTTCCTCAGTTTATTTATATTTTTTTAAAAGCTTTTCTAATATCTGGTACTAATTACAAAATGACATGGATAGTGCTATAACAGCTGTGTAACATAGTACAATAGCAAGATCCATATGGCTTATTTGTTTTCATATTATGGTTTACTTCCTCCTGCCAGCAACACTGATCTTAATTTGCAATCAATGCCTGTTAATTACTATTCACTATTTACAGTGAGGCTGGCTAGATCTAGCGGAAATGCAGACCTTTCAACTGCAAAAAGTGCAATTTCCCACTGAACAGTGAAATACAGTGACTATTACTATAGAAGTCTCCACCATGTATACTAATCCCTTACTACAAGAATTTGTGTTATTCTTATTAGGTTAATAGGCCAAATAAAATTAATTGTTAGTTTCATGTCCAGGATTTGAAATTACTTTATGGTGAGGGTATTTACTATTTGCTTTTTACTATCCTATGGTAAACAGGCTGGTAAATAGTAAAAATTTTGTTTTCTTTTTATAAAAGAAGTAAATAAATCTTTGTAATGTATTTCTACCACCTCTTCTTACTTAGGCTTAACATCTTTCTTTCATGTAGTCATTATTTTTTTCCTTTGGCAAAACTTTTTTTATTACTTGATTAGCGAACCCGCCATCCGGCTGCAAATATTGATGATTTCGAATAAAAATAAAATTTTATTGCTGGCCAATTAGCGTACCTGCCGCCACGAAAAAGTGGAAATTTCAGAAAAACATAAAAGTTTTTCTTTATTTTTATTACGACGTCCACTGCCTTGAAATACCAAAGATTTCTTCCTAATTATAGAAATTTGAAGCATTATAACCATCCTAGTTTACAGGACATTCACCAATATATTTTTATTTTCTCCTCCATCTGGAGGTTTTTGGCAAACTATTTGCTAAATAAGAAAACAAAATGATATTTTTTTTTATATTGCGCCCCCCTCCGATGATCTTTAAAAAAATATGTATGCAAAACAAGAAGTAAAGTCTCGCCTTATCGTTCTTATATTACCTTTCTTTTTAAAAATCAGTATCTAATATATATTTTAGCAAAGTTCAAAAAATAATTAAAACTATTTCAAAATTGTTTTTTGTGAATGGTATTCTTTATACTTAGCAAATAACACTACTTATGTTCTAAAAATTTGTTTTAAAATTTTTTTTTGCAGTCCAAGACAAGGGCCTCGTTACTTTGGTTGATTCACCAAGCCTACCGATTTGGACAACTTCCAGGAGACCTTGTCGATCCATTCTTTAAAGACAAGGATGTGAGTATTTCTTTTCAACAATAAAATGCCTTTGAAGTAACAATCCATATTATATTTGATTATCCTGTCTCTATACCATGTTGAAGAGTTACACAGTGCTTTTTGGGCCAATTAAGTGAACGGTGGGCCAATTCTCATGTTCAGACACAAGATTTTCTGTACTATATATTTTCAATGAAGAGTAAAAATTAAAATTACATTTGATAGAAGCTCGCTTGTTTTGTTCTCTTTGATTTCAGTTTTTTCCATTCCTGGCCAGCTAGATTGTTTCTAGTTCTATCAGGATTTGAGGTGCCTGAGTCCTGGGATGGCCGAGACTCAACTAGTGCTAGACAGGGTACATTTTGACAGATCCCTGGTCAGCGACAAGGGCATATCCCCATACTGAGCTGCTGGTTTTGAGTTGCTTTCCTTGATTTTCCAATTACATCTGTGCACTTGTTTTGGCGCATAGAGACCCTCATATTTTGCACGGTATAAATGCATAACATTAAAATTTTAACCTTTAAGCCGGTTACTCACTGCGTGCGATGGCAACGCGACGAAGAACGCACATGAAGATGCAGACCCAACGGATAGTCTTTTTAATGAGGATCCGTTCAGATTGCTACTGACAATCAGCAGAGACCCTTGCGTCGTCTATCGCTCACCAGAACCAAATGTGGATTCGTCGTACGACGCAGTGAGTGTCCGGCTTTAGGATATTGATTTTTGACTGTATTGATACAACCTTGTGCCATGTTGGCATACTAAAGAAATAAAATAAAGCATTGAGGATTGTGCAGAATGATGGGTACAGTATGATTGATACAGACATTTATCGTATCCTGAATTTTTGGGCTGCCTTTTAATTTTTTTGCTTTAAGATATAGATAAAAAAATTATAGCCAGTCACACTGTGAAAGAACTCAGAATTTTTATGTTTTTCAATGAGAAAGCTTGATGATTTTATATTTGAAGTGATAATGTACATAACTTTCAGTCATGCATCTGGCTTTACTTGCTGAAATATCAATATCCTGTGTCTAGAATCTATACTACAGTATGCTTAAATTTTTTGATTTTAACTCAATCTTTTCAACAGGGACATGACCACCTTAAACCCCTGGTCATCAAACTACTAGGGAGCAGTGAGTTATATTGCAAAGCTAGTCAGCAGGTGTTTAATTGTAAAGACCAGCCATGGTCAACCCATATGAGTGTGATGCAAGCCCTGTCTCGTAGGGGCGTGTACGTCTTGGATGAGAATGACCAGGCTGTAACACAAGCTGTACTTGCACAAACCACTAAGATAAAGCTGGTAAGTGTCTGTAAAGATTACTGTCATTATGTACTCATGCATATCAGACAAATAGAATATTATTTTGTTTTTACCATTGTACTCTTCCAGGCCCTAATGGTTTTTATAAAGTATGGAAATCTCATTATTACAAGGTTTTCAGTAAGGACTGGTGGTGTTTTATTTGTGAGAACAAATCCTTCATTGTCACAGGATTTGAACCGAGAACCTAGGGATATAGAAGGTGAGCATCTTAACCACTATAAAGGAGCATTCCGCAAATTGTGGATCGCGACCCACCAGTGGGTCGCCGAAAAATGTTGGCGAGACCTTGACAGAAATCACAAAATTTTAGCTTTGTCCTAACTTGTAGAGAAACCATATCAGCATTAAGATACCTCGAAATACGGTTTATTTTGTGATACAGCTCGTCGAAAAGTCACCTCACAACTAAGACCATGACTAAACTTGATAAAAATGTCTTATCTGAGCGCACATATCTTCACACCAAGTTTTCTACTTTGATGTTTTGACATCAAAGCTACATAGCTCTGTGCGTCGTAATCAAAGTTCCGACATACACACCAACAAATCAATCTAGGTCAGCGGCGTTTGAGTTCTTGTGGGTTTGTATGAGTTGTGGGGATTTCCCATGAAGCGCTTTCAGATAACTTTATATTTTGTCAACTTTCTAATCGCTAAGCTACTGAAGTTTAAATCATGTCAAGAAAATACAAGAAGGAATACCGAGAATGGGGATTTGTATCAAACAGAGACAAGCCACATTGTGTAAATTGTGGGTGGACAGGATCAAACGAGTCAATGAAGCCATTTCAATCAAAAAGGTATTTGACATCAAAACATCCAGCCCTCCAACATAAACCTTTGTCTTTCTTTGAGAGAAGCATGATGAATTGCATAGAAGTAAAAGTATTTTGAAACATCAACTTTGATAAGCCACTTACTAAGGCTAATTTCCTTGTAGCACAACAAATTGCCAAAGTTTAAAAGCCATTCACTATTGGAAAAGCGCTTATTCTCCCATGTGCTAAGCACATGTGCACCGAGGTGCTAGGATCAAAGCAGCTGAAAAAATAGCCAAAATACCTCTATCTGCTGACACCATATAAAGAAAGATACTCGATATTGGAGAAGATATAGAGGTACAGCTAAGTTACAAAATTAAAACAAATCCAATGTTCGTAGTACAGATGGATGAATCGACAGATGTATTGAGCAAGGCGCTGATTCTGGTTTTTGTGCACTATAAAGGAGAAAATGATATCGTTGAAGATTTTCTAACATGCGATGAGCTCCCAGGCAGAACGACTGCCGTAGAATTTTTAAAAACAATAGATAGATTTGTTCCCCTTTCAGGCTTAGATTGGGTAGACTGCGTGGGCATCTGTACCGATGGTGCAGCTGCCATGACTGGGAGACATAGTGGAGTAGTTAAGTTAGTGTTGGATCGAGCATCGAGTGCAACTTGGACTCACTATTTTTTGCATCGAGAGAATTTGGCAGCAAAGGATTTGTCGGATGCACTTGGTAATGTGTCAAAACTATCAATTTGTTGAGGAAATTTCACTGAACTTGCACCTGTTATATTCAACTTTGGAATGAATCTGAGGCAGAGCATGATATGCTTTTATATTTTGCTTCAATCAGGTCGTTATCGAGGGGCCAGTCAATAAAGCGAATATACAAACTAAGAGAACATGTACGTACACACATTTCTTGATGAGAAAGGCTCAGAATTTGCAGATAAGTTCAAGGACACCAAGTTCATCATGACTCTTGCATATTATGTCAGATATATTTGACAGTCTCTTGAATGAACTAAATACATCGTTCCAGGGTGCAGGGAAGACGATTTTGAATATGTTGGACAAGATCGAGGGGCTTAAACTGAAACTTTCAGCATGGAAGAAGAGAATTTGGTGTGGGGAGTTTGACATGTTTGACAATTTGCAAGAGTTCCTTCTACACAACAAGGACATAGACATTACTTGAAATGCAGTTTCTTGTAATTTAGTAATAATTATTGTTTTAATAATAATAAAAAGGTCAATTTGATGTAGCACAACATGTTGAAAATTAACAACTGTTTCAAGTTTAATGGTCTGTTTTGCTATCATTCTTGATTTAATCGTATCACATTTTGTTTATTCTCATCATTCTCCGCCCACCAATCCACCTTGCTTTTTCTGACTGACATAGTAGTCCTACTCTTTCTCTGATTGGGTGAGAAAGTGGGCGTGATATCTTTTTAATCCATCTTTGATCACGCCACTACCGCAACCACATGTTCATCTCACTTGCAATGAATCACAGTGTTGGAATACTTAATCATACATTGTAAAAGTACAATCACGCAATGAAAGATGGTATGACAGAATATTTTATTAATAGTTAATTACAATTTAAGGAGACACAATTTAGCTGCAAAACAAGTAGGCTTATAGTAAAATACAATGAAATGAAACGTGCCACATGGCGTGCAATATAAGCACGGTATACCACTCTCCGACTTGTGCGTGATTCGACCTACGGTCTGAATTTCTTAACTGGGTCGTCAGTCCAAAAATTTTGCGGAACGCTGCACTAAAGTACAATGACTACAACTTTTCATATTCGCAGACAAATGTAGGCCCATGACTAAACACCAGTTTCTCATCCAAGTAAATTTTAGAAGGCTATACAGTAGCTATATTAGGTTGATACATATCATCCTGGAGGACAATTTAATCTTTCTGGTCCTTGTCAATCAATGTCCTACTGTAAATTCCACAATACAGAGAACAAAAGTAAGCAGTTAATGCTGACCATTAGTCAAGGGGATTGTGTCCGGGCAGCTTAGCTTGATCTACAAAAACATTGACCATCAAATTATATACCAAACACTTAAATTCTTCTTGTACATTTTTGGTCTGAGTTTCACTTGGCCAGTCATAAAAAAAGCAATGCTCATCAACCAAATCCTCTTCATAGATGTGCAATGTCGAGTACTACATTTTTTGGTCTGATGGAATTTTGTTGAATTGATGTGAAAAGTACCAGGGAAACACTGCATAGACGTAATTCCATTGTAGTTTGTTTAATGGTGAATTGGACAAAACACTGGGCAATAATCTCTCACTATTTTCCATTTTTGGTCTGAGTTTCACTTGGCCAGTCATAAAACAAGCAATAATCATCAACCAAATCCTCTTCATAGATGTGCAATGTCGAGTATTACATTTTTTTGTCTGATGGAATTTTGTTGAATTGATGTGAAAAGTACCAGGGAAACACTGCATATACGTAATTCCATTGTAGTTTGTTTAATGGTGAATTGGACAGAACACTGGGCAATAATCTCTCACTATTTTCCATAAAGTACTGCATGTTTAGCCTGCACTTAAAGCACAATTGTACAATGAACCAATTGCCTCTGGTCTCTTCTTGAAGATAGTGCATTATTGAAACTTGGACCCTCAACATACAGACTACTGTAAAACTCATCCATAATAAATACAGTAGAACCCGATTTTATGTACGGACAGGACTGGAGTGCGTACGTAAATCCGGGGATTTTTAAAATCAAGGCGTACGTAAATCTGAGAGTTTGTATAACTGAGGTACGTAAAAACAAGGTTCTACTGTACTACAACATGTCTTCCCACTGTGTAATGTACAGTATCCCATTAGCCTATACTGCCAAGTAATCAAGAAACACATTCATCTGTGCTGATAACACATTTAATTAATACATCAGCTACAGGGCTATAGAACTAACGTCTGTGCCTATCTAAGAAGTCCCCTCTCTCCCATTAGAATTAAATGAATTTTTATTCATACTATATATTTTTCAGAATACTTGGCTGGAGGGAGGGGAACACTATCTCATAGTTAATAACAAGTATATATGTATATAATAAATATAAATTGTCAGTATTTTTCCAAGTATCAAATTATTTTTGGACAATAATTTGATGCTCAAAAATTTTAATTTTCATTCCCCATAACCTTTTATTTTAAATACTGTAATTTTTTATATATGACCTTTTACCTATATTTGCTATAATCAGTGTGATTACATTTTCTTGTCTAGCCTGCCCACCTTGCTATGATGGATGCCTTAATGATGGCATATGCTTGTGAACTGGTGACTGTTGAGAAAATAGTGCATGCAGTCAGGTAGGTTGTAACAGCTTTTCAATAAATACCATCAATTAAAAATTTGCAATTTAAAGCCAAATTATATCTAGTATCATTGCAACATGGATCACAAATTCATGTAGTACACTATTTCACCAATACAAGTCAATAAAACAGTGTAAAGCAAACAAGGATTAATTAGCATCTCATTCAATTTTGTATTAAATTATTTATTATTATTCACATACAGTACAATCACCATTAACACTCTGACTGCCAGCGGTTTGAAAAAATAGTATCAGCCACCGCCAGACATTTTAGCAAATTTTAACACTTTTCCGAAGCTCGTTGAGAGTGTGTATGTGATCAGATTGGCATGTAGTGAACACTACAAGAACTGCAAACATGTTTAGCTTTACAATGGTACCAAACATTTTATTCTAATCACAATCGGTGACCCATAACAGTAAAATGAAAATGACTCACTTTTGGAGATTTACGCAATTTTGCACAACGAAGCTGAGATAATAGCGATTTCGTGAATGTAAATTAATACCGCTAATGTAAACAAACAAATAGCAAACTACTTACGGTCCAGACTGAATATAGTTTTCAAATTGTCAGTATATGTTGGTAATTACCCCATCTATCGGATTCCGTACAAAAACCTGAAACACAGAGATGTTTGGTGGTCGAGTGCTGCGTTAGCAAAAACACGGAGATCTCTGTGTTTGGCGGTCGAGTGTTGCGTTAGCAAAAACACAGAGATCTCCGTGTTTGGCGGCAGAGTGTTAAGGATGAGCACTAACATGGGGATGGTCATATATTGCATCTCAATCTTCATACATACTGGTACTGGTACGAGCATTTATATAATTATTATAAAGTGCACGCCAAATCTCCAAGCTCATGGGAACTCAAGGCAGAATGTAATACAGGTATATTAAACAGAAATCACGAGCACCACAATTGTATTATCAAAACAACAACTGACACAACATAAAAAAAATAATAAGTTGTATGCAAATACATAATATATTCAGGCCTCGAATTTTACCGCGGCCACTGTGCCCTCCCAGTTGGCCTTGGTGCCCTCCCAGTTGGCCTTGGTGCCCTCCCAGTTGGCCTTGGTGCCCCCGAAAATGAAGCATGACGACGGCCACTACTTGCCTGCCCTTTTGAAGCCTTGGCCTCGGTGCCCTCACGATGCTTAATATAGATCGTTTGACACGTAAAATAAATCTAAATAAAGAACGTTCAAATCTTGAAAGAAAACACGAAAGCCAAAAAACGTAGGCCGCCTAAGCTAGCCTAGGCCTAGATAAGGTTGCAGTGACAGAACATGAGAGAATTTCCACGTGTGTTGATACAAACTGTTTTTGCAGTTACTGTTGTGTGCGCATGCGTCTTACTCGAGCGGTTATTGCAGTAAACATTGTACTGTAGTTGTAAACATGTGCTTGCTGCGCAGCTAACTTTGGGCGATCCTACGTCATCACAGCTTAAGCGTGTAAAACTAACGTAATTGGTTGACACTCGGCTAATCTAGTTCATGACGGCCAGTTTAGAGTTATGGCTTCCTCTCCGATGACGACGCACTGAGCAACAACACAAGATATCGAACTTCTTGAAATTTGACTGTTTTGTACGATCGCCGACCGCCGCAGTATATTCCAACATTGAATTGATAATTAATAGTTAATACTCTAAACAAAGTCATGTTATCATTGACAACGATGGCTTGGCTAGGCCTAGCTTGCCTAGCCTGGCTACGATGAATCAAGGCACGCGCAAGAAATAGTACTGAGGCTAAATCAAATTTTGCCTTTTGTGCCCTTTTATACTTGAAATTTTGGCCTTGGTGCCTTTCAATTTGACTTTGGTGCCTTTCAAAATATGTCATACCGGAGGCCATTTGGCATTGCCCATAAAATCACCAAATTCGAGGCCTGTATATTTATTTACAGTAATAATAATAATAATTCCATACTTCTATAGCGCATTCTGCAAAAAAGCCTCAATGCATATACTAAAAACATGCGTATACTAAAAAATACTAAGCAATAGATGGCGATGGGAGGAGGAGAGACATAACATCATATCGGCACTAATTGGTAATGTCAGCTGATTATAGATTAAGAAGCAAAGATTAATTAGCATCTCATTCAATTATGTATTCAATTATTTGTTATTATAAATCACACAGTCCAATACTTCAATCACCATTAAGAATTAGTACTGTACTATTTAGGATGGTCATATATTGCATTTGTATTTAGTAGTTCATATAATATTTACAGTACAGTACATGGTAAACTGTAAACAATACTAGCTAAAAGTAGAGATAGAAGGAAGCTTGGGGGAGGGGGGTGTGAGGGACAACATTTTCTTATCTGCTTTAATTATTGTCAACTAACTAAGATTAAGGATTAAGGACCAGATCATTGATAAATCAACTATGCTCCAATACACTTTAAATAGAAAGTTGGGTAATTCTGTGTCAAATCAACCCAGGTCCCAGGTCGACCGTCTAGGATTTTTATGAAACTCCATAAAAATGATCCACCATGTGAAAAATCAACATACGTAGGATTAGCCCTACAGGATATGTAGTTTCCGAGATATTGATGCCCCAAAAAAGGTTTTTGTCCATTTTTAGACCATTGCTTTTCTAAATTGGTACATGCTACAACTTTTCTGATTGCAGATTTGGAATCAGCAGTAAAAGTTGTCCTACACCACAAAATCTGTAGTTATAGACGTTGACCTTCCGAAGATATTAGGATATGAAAAGTCCAATTTAAGTTTGCAGCGCACTATTTTGTGCACACACCCCCTTTACATGTCAAACTGCTGCTACGGGAAGATTAACAGGAATTGGAGTCTCAAAATTCCAGGTTTTCAATTCACATGAATATCTGTCAGTGTGCAAAAAATTTAAGACCCATGGCATTGAATAACCCAACTCTAGCAACTTTCGTTTTTTTCCGATTATGTTTAAATATGTGTCTGGACTTGAATGTTCAGGTAGCCGTAACTCAAAAAGTAAATCTTTTTTAATCTCCAAATTTTTAGGGATCTTAACCCACCAGTAGTACTTCCTATATACAGTAATAAACTTAACTAAACTTTAAAATTTGGCCCAGATACAGCTCTCCAAAAATGCAAAAAGTTTGTCCAGGCAGGTTTTTGTCCCATTTTTAGACCATTGCTATTCCACAATGGTACATGCTACAACTTTTCTGATTGCAGATTTGGAATCAGCAGTAAAAGATGTTCTACACCACATCTGAAGGTTATAGGTGTTGTACTTTTGAAGACAATAGCCTACGAAAATGAAAGTTAATTTCATGGTGAACTATTTTGTGCCATTTTGGGATTTTGTACGCAATAACTGGATTGGCAGGATTTGGTAAAATTACGGGATTTTTTAAAGTCAGGATCGGCGGGATTTTTTACGCAATTTCTGGATCGTCAGGATTTTGTTTATAATTAGGCCTACTGCGTTTTTTTTTTACATAATATCGGAATCGAAGGAAATTTGTTTGTACAATTACTGTAGGTTCAATAACTATTATCAACGGAGCACCATCGTGGCTGGCTGAATCTAAACCGGAATTTACTGGTGATAATATTGACAACAATGAAGTGTTAATCGAAGTTCATGAAATCTGTAGACTTGATAGGCAATGTCGTTATTACTTTACATTAAAAATGGTAATCTATTAAAGAAATGAATATGTTTGACGAAGATGGAAAGCACTATCGGTAGAAATAAACTCACCCCACTCAATAGCTCTGTAGGCAATTTTATGGACCACCCAAAGCAAAGGCTGAATATTTAACAAAACTTGACCTAACGTATCAAAATTTTACCGCATTATATAATGATGCCATTATGTTAGATTTTAATCTAACCTAAATAGATGAACACCATAGTTAGTCAAGGTAGTATAATGCAAGACATTCATAAATTTTTACAACAGAAACTATTAAAACAATTATTGACCTAAAATTTGTCACTAAACAAAATATATCAACTTATGGTGTAATTAGCCTTTGGCTTACTGACCATTGATTGATTTATTAAAATCGCAAAATAAGAAAAAAATGTACCAAAAAGATAGTAAATCAAGATCATTTAAAACGTTCAATGACAACAACTTTTTGGAACCACATTAAACATTGCCAAGATGAAATTTACAAACAAACAAACAAACGATAATACTTCGTTTAAAAAAAAAAAAAAAGCACTTAAAACAAAGGACCCTAAAATGTCTGGTAAGAGGCTAAAGAATTAATAAATACTGTAAGGTTAATAATTTAAATGCAGAATGGAAAGACCTTATAATGATATTTAAGTGTTTAAATGGTATTTTTAAAACCTTTTGATACTTTTATCCCCTACTAGCATTTTTTTCTGGATCCTCTTCTGCTGATAATGTTAACAAAGGTGACGAATGATCTTGACGATTATAATGATGATGAGGATGTTGGCGACGATGACAAACATTATTTTGGTATTAAAACGCCAACCAAATATATAAATATTTAAATAACAATATTTATAATCAGTCACCAAAAAAGTTGCAATGAAAAATGTAGTATTGTTTAAGTCAATTAACTCTGTACAAAATACTTTGAACTTAAGTGAGAGGCATTTAACAAATATAGCGCCTACAGGGGTGTATCCAGGATTTTTTTTGTTGGGGGGGGGGGTCGTGATCATAAAATTTTGAACCTTATCACAATGAAAACAAGAGTGTCGACATTTTTCCCCTAAAATTGGGAGGAGGAGGAGGGCTTAACTAGTCCAATTTTACCTCAGCCCCACCACGGTTGGGGTAGGAAATTTTAAAATATAGAACTTCTAGATGACCGGAAAAGACACTCTCATTCGGACCAATGGACCTTCGGACCAACGGACCTTCGGACCAATGGACCTTCGGACCAATGGACCGTCGGACCAATGGACCTTCGGACCAATGACTAGTCACCGAGACAACTACCCATAGATAATATATCTGTAATATACGATTTATACATTCACTCATATGGACACAGGGTGACCTCGAAAATCACAAAAAAAATTGTGTAGTTCAAGAAAGTGGCTATTTGAGTGCAGATAACTTCAAAAGAGAAGAGCTAACAGTTAATCTAATGCTATATTGGTGTAATATGGTGCAGAGTAAGTTAGAATACCAAGATCTTGATTGCTATTACCAATCCCGAGTTATAAGCTTCCAAAGTTGGAGGAAATTGTGTTTGCGCATCTTGAAGAGCCACACCCCTTTTTTGAGGATTCAGTATCTCAAAAACTACAAAACCTATAACACTAATTTTTTTAAGTGTTGGTTTTTCACATAGTGGATCATTTTTATGGAGATCAAAATCTGAGAGGGTCATACTGGAACATTTTTTTAATCTGGTTGGTTTGACATGGAATGACCCAGTTTAAAGTAGACCTAAAGTGTAAACTATTTATTAATTATTATAGTATATAGGGAGTCTGATAAGATTGAGATAATGTGTTTACAATCAACTTCATAAGATACATGGATGAAACATTAGAGAAGGACAAGTACTTCCATGAAACTCAGAGCAAAATGCTATTGAGATTAGTGCCCTGAAAAATATGTTATTTAAAGGTTATTTAATTATTCATTATGATCTTAATGTTAAAGGTGACAATCATGCTATTTGATACAATACCTGCAGGATTCAGATGACATTGAAAACGCCCTGCATAAAATATATTGTCTAAATTGTCTCTCGCTTGAATTGCCATTGTCATGTTTAATTTGATGACAAAGGTATTTATTCACATGGATGCTTTACCTCTATAATAGAACTGTTATCATCCTCACGCTCTGATGGGTTGAAGCTGGTATGGGTTATAGAGTGTGTACTGCTGATGCAGATAAACTATATTCGCAAGGAAGTGCGGTTAAACATAGAGTTAATTCCTAGGGTGCAGAGGTCATTATGCAAACTTACCATGTCTCACGCATTCGGGGTCTATTTCATGCTGTCACATTTAAGGGGAAAAATCTCGCACATCAATGTAAATTAACTCTTTTAACTACAATTTTCCATCTATAGTACATCGTGGTAACAATAACATCATGTATACCAACTAGCTGCACTTTACTGTGATTGTCATTTTATATAGAAATGCTGTCAGATAAGATCAAAGGAGTAGTACTCTGCCAGCTCATGTCAATGTGAAATAATTTTTGTGGAGATGACCTGAAATGCACATACAGTAGTTCCAAGTAAAGTAAAAGGCATAAACCTGAATGCATGTTGAAGCATTTATGAAATAAAATTTCCAAAGGGAGGTGGGGGAAATCAAGCCCCATATCCCTAGGGGCAGAATTTTCTCATGCCTGCAAGTTTGCCTAACTTGGAATCTGCATTATGTAGAGCAATTTTATAGTTAGAATGCATTACAACAGCAGCCGTAATTATGTTAGACATGTGAAGAACTTTGCGCTGTGCACAATTGATTAAATTCAGAACATTTTTTTTCAGAGATTAATAAATAGGAATTAACTAAATATTGCTATTTTCAATGGTATCATCATCATCGTCAATAATCATTAACATTATCATTAACCAACATCATCATCTTTATTATTGCATTATCATAATTATTGTTGTTGTTTATTGTGATTAATATTTCACTATGAAGTGTGATGTATTAAGAGAGGCACATTAAGCTGCAATATATTGCAAATCTAATCGTGTCCTTTTTACAGGAAATTTACCAGTTTCAATGCATCTAGTGAGTTGCCCTATGACATAGAAGATGGTTTGTTATTTTGGTTGAACAAAGTAGCGTGCACAACTCAACAAATCATGGAGAAAAGGCTACGGGAACAACAGCAACATTACATAGATAACCCTATGCAGAAGGTAACGAGGCTTAATATAATTCATACAAATTATACCTTTTTATGATTTACCATAAAAATGCAGAATCCCTGACTGTCCTTTAATAAAATTTTAAATATAACTTAGATTGCTCATTTAAGTAGGCACCAAATTTCAATAAGTCACTGATAAATTAGTCATGTTTTATTGGATGACATATGTTTTACTATGAAACACCTTAAATTTCCTGGTAAAAAATGTAGATAGACTGTTGAAATTATATTAACATCTGTCTAGTCAGAATAATTTTTTTGGTTCTAATTTTCGTTTGAAATTAATAACTTTATTGATAACTATGCAGTTATTTTTTTTAAATATAATTTTCAAATTTTTGTCTTTGAGCCGTTAGTGTGTCAAGGCAAATATGTATTTAATTTAACTATTTAAGACACATACAATAAAACAAAACTTTTTCCTGGCGTATACAATGTTCATGGACAATATAGATGGTGATGATGGTTTTATTTGGGATAATATTGGAATTCTTCTTTTTGCTCCTAGATAAGACTTAGAAGACCAAATCTACCACCGAAAGAAATGCAGAACATCCCCCTGATGGAGAACCTCTTGACTGATATTGGAGATGGTTGTTCATTGGCTCTTTTGATCCATTTCTACTGCCCACAGGGAGTGGACTTTGAAGGTATGCTTCAATGCTATAGAGTGTTGTGGTGGTGGTTGTCGCTATATAAAAGACTGTGATATTGCTACTCGCAATGATGCACGAATATATGCATAGATTTCTTCATATGAGCTGAGATTGAAAATTACGAAGTAAAAAAGTACTTGTATATTTAAAAGTATACAGATCAAACCAATCACTAACATGTAATTAGCTAAACATTCTGTAAGGGAGCCTCGCAAAATAAAGCAACGCGTATACCCGTCTTCAACGCGTGGTTGGGGATTATAATAAGGAGTTTTCGATTTGCACGTCCACTATGTCGACTGATAACCTATGACGTAGTTTTGATGACTTGCGCATGCGTCAAGTCGACTAACACGACGACTGCCAAATTTGAGAACGTGTTCTGCAGCGTTTTGACGTTCGCTCTCTGACTGAGATAACAAGTAGACGTATGACGTCATATCACTGGAAACTTTTGATTCATGATGGAGGACGATGTCGCGGTGCTTCTTAATTTGACAAAATTATCTTCTACTGGGGATGTAAGTAAATAGCATTTCGGTTAAGTTGTGTCCTATTTGCAAACTATAGAATTATCCATTATTGTGGATCAAATTCAGTGGATAATTAGGTAATTAATTAATTAGCCTATTAGCTAGGCCAAGGGAGCCTAAGCCTAGGCGAGGCCGCCAGCCTTCAGTCAGGCCGGGTGTATCCAGGAAAAATGGAAATAATTTTTCAGTGATCTGTTAAAAACAAAAAAAAATCTATATTGAACAAAGAAGGAGAGGTGCACCCTCAACAGGAAGATTTATGTTTTTACAACTCCCTGCCCTGAATACCCCATGGATATACCAAAGGGATTCGCGAAGCCGATGAAGATTTGCCATGTTGAGCTGCGTAGACCACAGTACCTGAGTGTTGAGTAAGATACCACGGTCAGTGTATTCGAATAGCGCGCGCGAACACGGGGAAACCACAGATCACAAGGTCATAAGTTCACTGACGTGTCAACATGGACGTTCACTTAAATCGAAACGTTCAGATAACCAGTGGACAAGTACCAGTCAACTGCTCGGATTTTCCACTCACGCAGACGTGAAAGCCGTCCACGTCCACTCAAATCGAAAAGTCCTTAATCTCTTCGCGTTGCCGACGAGCGGTTCAAGATACTGATCAAAAATGTTGGACGATTCCATTTCGCGAATTAGGGTTCGTTTTCCAACTTTTTTGTTCTACTTGTTTGCGTCGGTTTATCTTGTGATGTACTGTAATTTATCGACAAGTCTGTTTTCTATGTTTTGTCATAAGTTTCATTCATTATTATGAATTAATTTTAATACTATATCCTGTCATTTGTTATTGAGCTATTTTGTAAAATTTACAACCGAAATGTCGAATACCAAGACTCGAAACCCACTGAAATTTCCTATACACTTTTATACTGTATTATAATCAGGCCAAACTCATGTTTTTGCCATGAATATTGACGGTATAAATGCAATTTAATGCCAGTGTTTTGCTTCTTCTAGAAATATTCATAGGAACATTCCTGCGCTCTGCTGCTATGGAAATACAGACTGAATCAAAGTGTACGTGCATTGATCTTGCTGCCGGCCGAGTTATGCATAGCTCAAACCCTTTGTACGCCGCCTAGTGTTATAACCAGGTCAAACTCATGTTGTTGCCATGAGCATGGAGGAATAAATTTGTAGTGACAGGATAAACGCAATTTAATGCCAGTACCTGCTTCTTCTAGAACTATTTATAGGAAAAGTCCCACGGTTCAGCTGCTATGGAAATTGACTATTGAGGGTCATTGATCTTGCTGCGGGCCAAGTTATGCATAGCCGTACCCTTTGTACGACGCCCAGTGATAACGACTCGACGTTACCATGGAAAAGCATAGAATAAATTAAGGAAATATCAGTCTCCGAATTTTTGTGTGCAATTAAATCTTGTATTTATTATTTTCTTTAAGTCTCATTTTCAATTATATTTAATATTTATTATATATATTTGAAAATGGATTTGGTACGATACAAATAAATTAATTACAATAAAGACAACAAGGAAGTGACAAACAGAAATTAAAAATCAAACAAGAACAGCTCATTCAGTAGATCATAAATTAAAGTTAATTAGCGTAAACAGTTTATTACATGAACTTAGGCCTAATTAGTGATCAAGATCTACTGTGTGTGTGTGTACAACAGTCGCTTGTATATGCTTGTATGATAATCTGATCTAAACACAATACTTTTATTTAGTGGTTTTTTTTTTCATTTGGAAGCTGAACAACAATAATTTAGGCCAAAAAATGGCTACCGTATCCGAAAACGCCATTCCTCTACACCCAGGCCCAATTACTGTTTTCAAAATGACCTACAGAGAATGAATGAAAATAAATGGGGAAAAAATAATGCTACCCTAGCTTAGCCTACTCCACTAAATTCTGATATTCATTGTATATGTTGAGTATTTATTGGCGGTCGCTATACTATATTATGAATAGGACTACAAATAGTAGGCCTATTGTACACTTATTTTTGATATAGGCCTACCATAATATATTTTAAATGCAAGGTTATTCCCAACTATTATATCGGAACAAATTATAGACAATAANNNNCAATAAATCAATGGATAGAAAAAGCAATTTAAAGAATGAAATAATGATAATATGTTAAGAGATCGTAATTCAGTAAATATCCCATAGCCCATTGAGTACAGGACCAGAGTCAAGCGTCTAACTTTTACATTTATAGAACATAGAGTATGTCAAAACCACAGGCCCTAAACTTCCAGCCGGCAATGCAGTACACTGCAAGGAAGACATTCCAAGTCCACTTGATACGCCAACAATTGAAAACTACTTTTATACATTACCAGTGCGTTTTATAAATGAAATTAAAATCCCTGTAGTAAAATAACATAGTCATTTGGTACATTCAAGCGTTTAAAAACACTTTAATGATTATACATTTTAAATTTAATTATTTTTAAAAATTATTATACAATTAATAACCCATATGTAATGGTAGAGTCCATGGTTAATCAACGACGCAACAAAACATGTTCTTCGCTGTTTGAAAAGGGGTGAAAGCAATACATTGAACAGCAATCTGGAGAAAACACGGAGAAAACAATATTTTACAGTATACAATACAATACCATTTTTTAAAGAGCCTCATATAATAAATATATTCTTTTACACTAAACATCGAGATTAATCAACATTGAAATAGAATAGATTCTAGGTTTGTGCCGCATCAAAACATGTGTTTCATCGGTAGAAAGGGGTGAAAGCAGTGCATGTAACTGCTAGCTGGCGATTGTTTTTGCTTTTTTTGAAACGTTTCTCGTCACATACATTAGATATACTGTTCCACCAAAGTTCCAGATTAATCAATATTAAAATAGATAACATATAGGCCTAGAACAACTGCTCACATTTATATCAGATAAAGGTACTAATATGAAGTTCAATATTTTTTTTTGTATTTCGCTAACACTGAAAGAAGTGTACCCTATCTACGTTCATGATCAAATGTAGGCCTACTGTAGACCGATTTCTGTCTGTCGTCCTAGACAGTTTTATTTAATAATCTTAATTAATACTAAAACGATATAAGAAATGATAATTTTAAAGACCTGTAAAAAATATATAATTAGGCATAACAAAAATTCATAAAAATTGCCTGTTTTCGATTTTTAATTTTACTTCGTAATTTCGTAAGCCAAAGCCTAGGCCTATCCATGGAGGTATAATATCTATGTCCTAGGCCTCTCCTAGTTTTATATTTCTGCTGTCTGTTGGTTTTGATGACAATAATCTCGATAAATTATTAATATAATTCTCAGAAATATAACGTGAGCTTGCATTACTTCCAATAGGGTTTATTTTTATACGAGACGTTTTTGTTTGTGTTAATTGGGTTTTTACACTAATAACCACCCAAAATGGAATATACCATTTTTAAAGTAGGGTGGGCAGTAGGGTGGACAATGTTGGGTGGGCCTGTTTTTATCAGCTTCACAATAGGATACATTACACTGTGACTTCCTCTTATACACCTTTAATTCATTCAACTCTTTTGACAACATGCATGTGTGTTAATAATCATTGTAGATTTCAGTAATCACTGTGCTTAAAGTTTGCCTTTTCTTAGTGATTTTAACACACCAACTAACTTCACAGTGGACTTCATCAGTCTCCTGATGAAGTCCACTCTGTGGACGAAAGCTAGAGAATAAATTCTATATTGTTACTCTCAAAAGTGCTGCTATCATTTACTTTATATTGTTCTATCCTTTATTAAAATACTTTCCGAAAACCGGATCTCCCTATTCCGAATTCCGGACATTTTATTTGGTCCGGAACATACATTTAATAAAAATCTACTTTTTCCAGACGAAAATAAAGCAATAATCATCATTATTTAATTTAATCATAGTTAATTAACAAGCCTAGCTCACAACACCCTGTGAATGAACTGTCGTACAGCTAGCTCAGTCCCAATAATGTTGCCATAGAGATTATCTATTGATTAAAACGACACACCAGTAGGCCTAAACGTTAATGTTAGATAAAGTGAAAGTTACGCCTTCCAATGTTGAAAGTGCATTATCGCCTTCTGGCCTAATCCTTTAAAAATCGATTGCAATTAACCCAAAATGAAGACGGAACTCAAAGCAAGTTTAACGACGGCTGACTCTTTTTTATTAGACGTTTAATTCGGATTTGTTGGATGTTGTAGTAGATTCATCAGTGTAATTACAAATGCATTGCTTCACTCATTCCTTAAAAGCATGTTGCTAATTACGAAGGAAATTTGTAGAGAATAAAATTTGCATTTTTAATACTTATTTAGATTTGACTTAAAAACAAAACCATGAGGGTTTCTTATTTGTTTAAATATATCTGTTTAATTAAAAATTAATTAATTTACACTGAGCTTGTTCCTATCTGCAGGTCGTCACGCACTATGAAACTTTGGGCAATCTGACGTCAT